ATTTGTGACATTCAAAAAAAAAAAACAAAACAAAAAAAAAACAATCAGTGACCATTTTAGCCACCGTTCTTCACCATGACGCTCAAAAGCCTCCCATCCATAAATTCTGTTAGTGTCTTCTTGTCTATGCAAAAATGTGCATGCTCGTTTTTTTATGTTTGTGTGTAAAAAAAAAAAAAAACGGAGTTCCCCTTTAAGTAGTCTTTTGGGTTGTTTGAGAACAGAAGTGTGGCCCAATAATAAAAATAATCCTCAAAAATCCAACTTTCCTAATAATTCTGCATACAGTGATATGTCAAAGTGAGGAGGCTACCCCTCCACAGCCGGAGCAGCAGTGAGCAGAGGCGGACCAGATCGCAGCTCCAGCAGCTGTCATGTGAATCAGCTGGGCGAACAAGGAAGGAGATCAACAACAACAACACGACTCCGTCTCTCTACATCAAGGTACAAACTGGAACCCACTCGGGAGGGGGGCTTCCGCAGAGCAACTGGGGGAAAGTCGTTGGAAAGGGGGCTGGTTTTTTTTTACCGGTGCGTGCAGGAAGCGGGCTGCTTTTGGTGAATCTTGTGCAGAATGTTGGAAGCGGCTAGCAGCAGCTAACCCTTAGCGCTGCCAACCTCTGAAGTTGGCCAGCCATCGTGTTGTGAGCATTACCCTCATTTATTTATTTTACCAGTAAATATGCAAGTCACCAACCAAGACACGAGTTATTAAACCGTAGAATGACTCGTTTTGACCAGGAAAAAGCCCGAAAGGAGCTAGCTAATGGCCTGTTTGGAGCCACCTCGCGAGGGGCATTTAAACCCCATTCACTACGCTATCGGTTTAGCTAGGTTAGCTTCACAGTTTATTTATATCCCCTCCTCTGACTCTGGTCAAAGCTAAACGCAATTAAACCGAATATTGTGATTTAATGCCTTAGAGGCCCGTTGGTTGTTTAATTTTAAGGTAGCTGGTTCGCTGAGACGCGAAGCTCCGCCGTTTGTTCAGCCATTACTCGGCATCATAACAGAACGTAGGCTAGTAGCTGCGGCTATCGCGTTTGCAGACAACAAAGATGAACGGAGTTACACACGCTAAAAGTATTAATAGTGCACGTCGGCACAGATTTTATTTCCCCGAAGGGCAGACGGTTTTGTTTTAGCCTGTTTCAGGACGCTTCCCATGATTTAAATAGTCAATTTAAAGTCCAAATTTTAAGGCTAACTGTTGTTTGTCTATATTACTTTAGTTTTGCTGATTTAAATGATTTAGTTTCACCTATATCTGCTTCTTACAAACTGGGATGTGATGTAAATTGCACGGAGGAAGAGGACAAGATGGGTGATGAAATCAGAAATTGCATTAGGCAACGTGATCCTTTGTTTTCTGCTACAGTAAAGTTGGGAGTGACTGGGATGGGTGGTTGGGACAAACCCCTACATGGGGCAGCTGCAGGTTCAAACAATCAAAACATTTTTTTCAAAACTCTACCGCCATCTAGTGGAGGATGCTATCAGTAACTAGTTGGTAAAAACTAAATCAGTCAACGTGTTGCAGGAGTTTTTTTGATCAAAGTCTCCTTTTTTGTTCTGGAAAGACAGGGTTTATATTATAAAGACACATTACAATCGCCCAAGATATTATAAAAGATCAATAATAAATTTGTCAATAAATATCTTATTAGAAAAAAGATATTTATTAAATATTAACATGCAAAGGCATGTTAATATTTAAAGATGCGCAATATAAGGATGGCAACCGGCTATGGTCTTATTTAGCCTGGTTCAACAAAAACCTTTAAGACAATCAGAGCTCAACTTTAAAGAAAGATTACAATTTTTTAGCTGTTCTGATGGATTATAAGAAAGTAAAATGTAAATAAAAAATAAAGGGATTTATATAGAAAAACAAGATTGTTTATATCAAGTCACCTAATCAAAGACAATTCAGGGTTTCCACGGGTCCTTAAAAATTGTTAAAAAGTCATAAAATTATTATTTTCTAAAATAAGGCCTTAATTGGCATTAAAATTCATTAAATGTGCAAATCGTGGCATTAAAAATGCTTTATTTAAATAAAAAAAAAAAGAATATGTTTATAAAAACAAATTTGTCAGATATATATATATATATATATATATATATATATATATATATATATATATATATATATATATATATATATATATATATATATATATAACAAACAAAAAAAAATCAATATAGACAACTGCCCCCGTTTTTATTTTGTGTGATCTCCGGATTAGATTTTTTTTTTAATAGTAAAAAACAATACAGTAATTGCTTAATGGAAACAGCATTAGTAGTAATTTATTTATTATTATTGTTATTAAATATAATAGTAACATCTTTCCATCCATCCATCCATCCATCTTCTCAAATTTATGCGATCAGGGTCATTGAGGGGCCGGTGCCTATCTCAGGCAGTCTGTCGGCGAGAAGGGGTGAACACTCTTGGCCAGATCGTCAGTCTGTCACAGGGCAAAAAAAGAATAACAATATTGCATATATCTAATAGAGAATATTATAGCAATATTAATGAAGATGATATTTCTATACTGCGTTATATTAAAGCATCCTAAATATTTTATAACATCTCCATTAATGATAGCAGTAAGCAAAGTATATTATATACTTTCATTTTAAGGATGGATTAATGTTGTTACAGATGTCTATTTTTATAATGGACAACATTTCTACCTAGAATCATAAAAACATAAAAGCATCTAGAAGTTCTTGAAGCATTTGTTGTCCCTCTCAGATTCTAGTGGTTGAGGAGGCAGGATGGCGGGAGCAGAGGTCTGCGCCCCTGCGAACCCCACCTGCAAGATCATGACCTTCAGGCCCACGATGGAAGAATTTAAAGACTTCAACCAGTACCTGGTGTACATGGAGTCTCAAGGTGCACACCGTGCAGGCTTAGCTAAGGTAGGTCGATCCTTTTTTTCATGTAATGGTTTCATTGTTATTGATGTGTGAAATTTACATTAATCTATTTAGCCAGAAACATTCTGTTTTATTTTAAGTATTAACTTTTTTTTGCTTTATATGTTTGTGCCACAGGTCATCCCTCCTAAAGGCTGGAAGCCCCGTCGTACCTACGATGATATCGACGATTTAATGATCGACGCTCCTATTCAGCAGATGGTTGCGGGCCAGTCGGGGCTCTTCACGCAGTACAACATCCAGAAGAAGCCTCTAAGTGTGCAGGAGTTCAGGCGCTTAGCAAACAGTGACATGTGAGCATTATAGTCTGTTCTGTCATTTTATAAAAAGATGTCTCTTGGCGTGCAATAAGCTTTTTTTTTTCTGTGAATATTTCAAAAATGTTTTTGCTATTTAAATGACCTACAATGAGGCTATTTCTTTTACACCATTTCTTAAAATGACTAATAAAGAGAATTGAGGAAACATTCACAAACACTCTTCTAAAATGTTAGAAGAGTAAAATCTCTATACCTGCATGTTTTGATGACGGCGATGTCAAATTTTCATTTTTCACAAAAGAAATGGCTCCGTTATAATGTAAAGGTACTAAGTTCTGTGCAATTATGTCGTTTTTTAAACTTCTTTTTGTCCTCTAAGGTATTGTACACCTCGTTACCTTAACTACGAAGACCTTGAGAGGAAATACTGGAAGAACCTCACCTTTGTCTCCCCCATATATGGTGCAGATGTCAGTGGCAGCCTTTATGATGAGGTAGATTGACCCGTCTTTCGTTTCTCTCTGCTGTTTTTCTTGCTTTACACCCCTGTAGCCAATTGTTATTTGCTCTTCCTGCATAGCTTTGACTGTAGCTTGCAGAGTCTGTAGCTCGCTGAAACACTGACATAGGATTAGCTTAAAGCCGTGAAATAAGACAGTGGTTTTATCATAATAAAAGCATAAATGCATTTTATTCCACTAATTTTAAGATTTTAGTCACACATCAAGTGCAAAGGTTAATTTGCCCCAGTGATCCATATGTAATTTGAGGGTTTCAGCAGCAAAGTCGTTGCTTGAATCCAGTTTAATTTCTTACCGGATTTTGGATTTACTGCTACAAAATGTTTGACTGCAGATTTCCTTTGACCTGCAAAAGCATTCTATCATAACTTTCTTTTAAAAAAGCATTTCACCAAAGTTTGCATCGTATTTTACTGTGGTTTTATGTGAAAAGTAGCAGATCAATACAAATGTGAAGTAAATGATCATGTTTGTGTGTATTGGTGTTTCCCACCAAACACCAGACACCATTTAGATGTTTTGTTTAGGCTAAATCTGGTTGATTTGTCAGTCTTGTTTTTAGTCGGGAAAAACCTTTCAACTTTCCAGTTTTTGCCCATTTTGCCCACTGAGGAAAAATTGGTTGAAGACATTGAAAAGACGACACGATTTACATCAAAATGACGTCTACGTTTGGTTTAAAAATGAAAGGTGAAAAGCCAATTTTTTTCAAAAAGTTGAAAAGGCTTTAACGTCTGTCATTGGAATAAAGTGAGACAAAAGAAAAGAAAAAGCTGTCATATGTGAAAGCAATGTAAATTCTGTATATTTCCCATGCACCTTTTTCTTCCTTTGGCACCTTCTACTTCTCCTTTGACCATTTGAACTGATGTAACGAGTACATTTCTCCACTATGAGATCAATAAAGTAAATCAATCAATCATGATCAGACCGACCAAACACAGCACAATTTTCAACAATTACTTCTGGACTAAATCAAGACTATGACGTACCGACCAGATTTAGCCTAAAATCCAATGTCTAAATTACGTCTTTGGTATTGGTATTTGGGGGAACTTTTTTCATCTGATACCTATGAAGAAAAACCAGCTGTGTTCAGATATCTCCTAATTAGTAAATAGCCTCCTGCTGTGAGTCCTCTGTTAGATGACATTTGTGCATAGATACAATCACACCACACAGCTCATCTGTTACAAAAAAATCATGGTTAGAACATGGTGATGGCAGCATATTGCCATGGGAACACTTTTCCTAATTTGAAACCAAATACAGGACAGTTTGAACGGATAAATCAAAGTTTGTTTTTTTTTTCCCTTTTTTGAATTTCCCACTCCAATCTAATGTGTAATATAATTAAGGATCTTTGGTAACACAGAAAGTCGATGGATACAAACCAGATTGTTCCATGGGTGCAGCAAGCTGCCCACTGCATCCTTAGGGTGATGGGTTAAATGAAGTTAAATGATGGTGATGTTTTTTTTTTTTTTCCTGTCTTCTGTAGTCTCCCTGAAATGCATTTAGCTTGGGTTTATAATGTGTTAAAAGAGATCTAACACTGGAAGCTTTAAGGTTTGGAAGCTTTTCTAAGGCGCTGTATGTTCTTTAACAAGAGGCAGAATGATCAGATTCTCATTCTTTGATTGCTGTTCTCTCTCTCTGGTTTCTGCCATTATAATCTTTTTTTTTTTTAATATAGGTGCAATGCTCTCACAGCCACTTCTTAGCATTAGATCTGAACATGGTGTACAAGACCAGTTGCGATCTGCAGCCCCGGTTCTAACCTTTGTTTCGGTTTTCTCAGGACGTAGAAGAGTGGAACATCGGACACCTGAACTCCATCCTGGATGTAATCGAGGAGGACTGTGGTGTCTCCATCCAGGGGGTCAACACCCCATATCTCTACTTTGGAATGTGGAAGACCACCTTCTCCTGGCACACAGAGGATATGGATCTGTATAGCATCAACTATCTTCATTTTGGGGAGCCCAAATCCTGGTGAGTATAGAGAGGGATTGACTCCAGTGTGAGGCCATAAAGGTTTCAAGTATCAAATAAAGTTGGACGGTGTTCAGACAATATTAAATCAAGATCTGGTCTGAATTTCAAAATCTGTGAGAAAACCTCCTTAATGAATTAGTTGCATAACAAATCAATAATCAATTATTCTTGACTGTTAACACTTAATAATGTTTATAACTTTACATATTTACACACTTTAAGCCCTTTCATTCAATCAACATAGTTTTCAATGCAGATTGCTTGTTTAAACCTCACCATCCTGTTAGTGATTTTGCTGTCGTTATCTGTTTTTTTTTATGACCAACACTTATTGCAACTAATAATATGGTAATATTGTCCTTTGGACCTAGGTTGGTTGCTTTAATTAAAAATGCAGCACTCAGTTGTTTCCATAGTTGCAGATTATAGGCAAAATTAAACCTCACAGAATGCCTCTGTGATTATTATTCTAATTTTTCTTTAGTCTCTTGGCAATGTGGTAAACATCTGGCGATTTAATAAAAAAATCTAATTTTGACCATCTATTAGTTTTCTCTGGAATAGTAAATTCAGGACTACCAGATATGATTTGATGACCTTGCAAAGCATTTTAAGGGAGGTGTTAAAATATTTAGTACTGATATTCTTTTTCCTTACAGAACTAGTTCTACCCAGTAAGTTCTTCCATTTTTGTATCCTCTGAAAAACAAAAACATGAATGCATGTTGTTGTGATCTTATCTGTGAAGAGGAAGGAAAACACATTTTCAGAATTGCACCCCAAAAGAAGGAAAATATCTAATGCACATTTGTATTCAGTCCCTGGATTTAAAGCTTTATCAACTCCCTTTTAGCTGCAGTTTATGATCTTTACACGTCTCCAGACTGAAATGTTTATTTCAGGTTAGTCAGATGCTGAGATATGGTCTTTGAACTCTACTTATCAGGTAGTCCATTAGCTTTAGCCCTTTCTTCCAACTTCCGTTTTTGCTGATCAATCTAAGCATCATCATGAAATGCTGTTGCTACACATGAAGTCCTTCATGTAGTTGAGTTTTAGTCTCATCTGGTCCACCTGTTTGCTTTCCCCTTCATGTCTGACTCTCACGGCTTTCCCTCAACAATAGCTTTCATTTCTCCACTCCTTCATAGAGGTCGGTTAGTGAACTGATTATAATCCTAATAATTCTCCACCTGAGCTGTCGCTCTCTGCAGCTCCTCCTGGGGTCCATGTTTTTCTGAGCTACTTCTCTGATTTATACTCTTCTTGCTCGCTCTGTCGGTTTTGAAAGTATTAGAATGTTATAATGAATGTTCTAATTATCCCCTATTAGCCTGTACAGCTAGTGATGTGCACATCCAGGGGCTGATTCTACACATGGAGTCATGTCACCAAAACGCTTAACAGTGATGAGCATGACTCTGTCATAAAAACATTCATAGCACCCTCATTTATTGTCCCATCTTTATAAAATGTGACTCAAATTAAAGCTTAGAAAATTTCTGATCGTGTGGTATTTCGAAAAATGTGCTCTCTCTTAAGACATAAAGCCATAAGCGATGTCGGAACTGTGAATTATTGTGTTGACGGGTATAACATACTAGCTGTAAAGATGCTGTCGGTTGTTTTTAACATCTCTAGTTGTGATTATTGTTTCACACTTTGTTGGTTTCTGGCCTTGATTGTGAGATTTCCAAGCTACTGACATATAAAAGAGGTATATAATGTATTTTCTTAAACGGTTCAGAAAAGCATTGCATCAGTACTACTAGTGTACACAGCACAATTGAAGATGCTGTATTACATATGCAGAGCCATTTGGTGGCGCTGTGACACTGCTGCAGAATCATGTCCATGTTGTTTTTTTCTTCTCTAATTTTTAACACAATTTGCATTTCATGTCAATTAGATTTTAATTAACTAGTCAGTCAAACTGTCAAAGCAATCATACTCATAAAAGTTTACTGGCCTTTATAAAGAACCTGTTCTGATGCTACCTCTGAAGCACCATTGACTCAATGGAAGTAAATTTGATTAAGAAATTTTTTTCACTTCTGAAGTGAAATGAAAAGACTTCAAAGGAGGAGGAGTTCTGGATAGAGCATATTGACAGATGAAAACATTTTTTTTATCTTAAATGCAAAATGTTTGTATATCTTTTTTTCTAGTTTAGATATAATTAGTCATCTAAGTGGATCGCTCCTTCAGCTAAAAGCATTTTTTACAGTCTCTATACTTTCACGTCGTTGTAAGGCTTCCCTTGTGTTTTATTTGATCTAAAGTTGTCCATCCTTGCTTCTTGCTTTCATGTTCAGGACATCCTTTGCATTTGCTTTCCATGTATGTTTACACACATTCAGATGTTGCAGGTTACTATGAAGGAAGCAATGTTGTTCTTCAAGGATTCCATTCGAACGCTGTGATTTTTTTTTTATTTAAGTTTTTTTATATAACATAATTGTATAATTGTTGGTTCAGATCAGCAGAGTGACGCACCCTCTCTGTATTACTAGCTGTTTTTAAATTGTGTTATTTTTCCTGTCTTTGCTTTTTAGGTTTTACATTTATCTCTTTTTTTTAAATATGTTAATCAGGTCTTGCTGATCTTTATGCATAGTATTCTGATAAAGTCTGCAGCGAACATGCATGTACAGACTCAGAAACTTTGGCTTGTTTGCTGGAGTTAAAGACGAGGCGGGGAATGCAGGTGGATGCAGACAGAGTGCTCCTTTTATTTCTTTGTCAACGCGCCTTGCTCCATTTCCTTCTCTTGCCCTGGAGGTAGTTCTGCTCATTAGAGCGGGGAGCCCTGCATCCCCCACAGGGATCAGTGTCACAGTCAGATTGTGACACAGGCATAAACCGACAAACACACACTCTATAAGAGAAGCCCCATGTGCCAAGAACTCGCAAGTCTGCACACCCTTATCGTCTGGTGCACACAGTCACCGGCGTGCTCCCTTTTCATCCTGCTGCTTTATTCAACATCTCATCTTCCCTGGAGTGGGCAGCAGTTTTAAGATGCTAGTCTACTCGCCACCCCCCACTTCTCTCTCTCCCAGTTTCTGGCTTCAACCTCCACCTAAGGTAGCGTCTCCCTCTTTCTGCGCCTCTCACAGCTGTGTTAAGCTGACGGGTCATACAATGACGGAAGACTTGCCGCAGACCTGAGGGCGGATGGAGCTAGTCGGATGGAAAGCCTGTTCAGTCCCTAAGGGGTTTCTGTCACACTTCCTGAGTTTGTCACCAAGAAGTTTAGAAGGTGCTTGAAATTCAGATTGCGTCAGCCAGGTATCAACGGGAACATCTCATAATGTTTTTTTTTTATTTTTTCATGAACTTGATTGCACCAGCAGTGATTGATATGACCTTTCCATTATATTTTAAAGGCTGTATTTTACTATTTAAGCTGTAACCGGTAAGAAAAAAAAAAGAAGAAAGGAAAATAGCCTTATAATGGGACCAGCAATACAACTCGACTGTTTTCTTATTCATAGTTTTATATTAACTGATGGGGGAAAAAAAGTTTTTTTCTCCAGCAGGTATTCATTTCTCCACCACTTGATGGCAACGTTGCATTTCTTACAGTCAGCACTGAGGCATAAATAAGTGCAGCCAGAATTAACCCCGTCTCCCCCTGTCTAACAGGTATGCCATCCCCCCAGAGCATGGAAAGCGACTGGAGCGCCTGGCTACAGGTAAAAATAATAATAATTTTAAATGAGCATAAATGTAGAAGCAGAAAATTTGACTGAGGGAGGATGTCCCAAGAAAAGCACAGACAGAGCCCATGCAGTTGATGGTGATGACTGATTATTAAACAGTCTGCAGGGCACCTCTGGTAAAGATGGGTGTGATAAACATTTAGTTAGAATGCATAAAAATCTTGGGCCGAACGATTTCCCAAAAAATTAAATTGCAAGTATTTTCAACCAAAATTGCATTTTTTTTTTCTTTTTAAATTACCGGTAATGAAATATGTTTTTTTCTTTTTTTATTTTGCTCTGAACTAACAACAAACACAGAGATCTTTGCATTACTTTGGGAGCTTTTTTTCCCCTTGTGCTTACAGTTATTCTTTGGAAACTAAAAAAACATGTAAATCCCCAACCTATAACTAAGTGGCAGTCCGAACCGTTTCTATAAGGAAACAAAAATTTTATAGACATCTTTTAAAGTTCATCGGAATGAACACTTAATCAAAATCTTTTTTTTCTTTTCTTTGGACATAAATGTGATATACCAGCCATTGCCCTCCAGCCTAAACATATACTAAGCTGTACTCTACTTAAACAGGTTGTTCTCCAGTCCATCTAAGAAAAACCTTAATAAACAGTTTTAACTTTGTACAGAGGAGGCTACCATCAAGCATCTGAGGCAGAAACACTCCCTGTGCTTCTAGTGTGAAACAAAAATTGAATATAAAAAAAAAACAGTGTCTAGTGTTGAGTATGGAGGATGATCTATGATACCGAGGGCCTTTTTCTCTTCCAAATCCCCTGAGAATCTTTCACTAGGCTTTGTAAAATTCTAGGAAAGCGTATTTAGTCCTTTAGTTGATGCAGGTGAATCAGCTGGAAGTAGTTCACAGGAGGAAACAGCATCACCAATCGCCAATTCCTCCTTAAAGTGGAGAGATGAAACCAGAATGGTCAGATTTCACTGTTTGTTTCAGTGGGAGTTAAAGCTAATGCAGTAAATGTGCAGTTTCTACACATCCTAACCATTGGGACCAGTAAATGGGAACGGTGCTGCATTATATGTGCAAATTTAAACTCAGATCTGATCCTAGAACATAAATGTTAACTGGAAATAAACGAATATGAGTCACCAAATGTTAAAACATTTTCGAATGCTTTTCACTTTTAGAGTAAAGGTAACTAAATTAAGGGGCTGAAATTTCTTTTCGTGCCTTACATGTCCTCTTCTATCTAATTACCATGAAGAATGCAGCTCTAAAGGTTGAATAAGATGCTGAATTATCACGTTCACCTTAATTAAATTTTCAGCATATGCAGCGCGTTTTATTGGAGGTAGCAGTGTTGCCTTTTAGCGAGGTTCTGGGTTTGAATCTTGGCCATGGCTCTTTCTCCATTGGTTGATTGGTTACTCTAAATGCCCCTTTAGCTAAGAGTGTGTGGGCATGGTTGATGATCAGAAGATGAGGAAAATCGGGCGTAGAAAATGGATGGATTAGTGGATACATTTCAAATACTACATATTAATCCGACTGCATAAGATTGATTAATTTGTTAATGGCTGACATTGAAGTTTCTCCCCATTTGACCATCTGATCTTCCTAAAAAACAAAATTCATACTTTTTTAAATAGTTTTTTATAGATTTCTTTTTGCTTTCAGACTCTCTGTGATTGTGTCTGTGTGTGTTTTCCTTTTTCAGGCTTTTTTCCCAACAGCTTCAAGGGCTGTGAGGCTTTTCTGCGTCACAAGATGACTCTTATCTCCCCCTCCATACTGAGGAAGTATGGCATCCCCTTCGATAAGGTAAACTCTTCAACCCTTCAAAAAAAATAAAAAATAAAACACATCTAGCTATCCCTGGTGTGGTTTGTTGGATCAAAAACATAGGACTCTGACTTGATTTTCCATCCGTTTTATTTTTTTGTTATGTTTAGACTTTAAAACATCAATGCTCTGCTCTTACATCCCATTTCCCACTCGGCTCTCCTAATTATACACAGATTACTCAGGAAGCCGGAGAGTTCATGATCACCTTCCCCTATGGTTACCATGCCGGATTCAACCACGGCTTCAACTGTGCAGAGTCTACCAACTTTGCCACAGTGCGCTGGATCGACTACGGCAAGGTGGCGACACAGGTAACATGAGCCTCCAGGGCATCCATCTGATGACGGCTTCTTTGAAAGCTAAAGTTAGACGATATGAAGTCGAGTTCAGGTGGCCTCAGCAACGGCTTCTTTTTTTCGTCCCTCTTTAGTGCACATGTAGCAAGGATATGGTGAAAATCTCCATGGAGCCTTTTGTGAAGCGTTTCCAGCCTGACCGTTACGCCAACTGGATGGTGGGGAAGGATTCGACGCTCATTGATCACACTGTTCCCACTCCTAGCACCACACCAGAGCTGCGGAGCTGGTTACATAGGCGCCGGAAGACCAAGTCTTCTAATAAAGGGTACTGCCCATAATCTCTGAAGATTTTTCTTCAGCCTTTAAAGGCCCCTTTGGTTTTAATTTTCTGGGATCTCTCTTCTTTCATACCAGCAGTCACTCTCGGATGCGCTCCAAACGCCTCAGGACCACAGAGGAGCCTGTTGACCTGGACAGCAGCTTAGCTTTGAGCAGCAGCAAGAGAAAACCTCCAGGTGGGCAGTCTGGGCCCAAGGCAAAGAGGTCTGCAGCTGGGACAGCCTACAAGGAGACGGAGAAAGGGAAGAAAAAGCAAACTGAAGGAAAGAAACCGAATTTGCCCCAGCTTTCTGGTAAGAAGCCTTCATAATCGTTTTCTTTTTAAGTAGTTTTTTCAAATGAGGTGTCTGGCGGTGGAGTTGGAGAACACCTTACAAACACTTATCACCTGCCACACTTATGAACCAGACTCTGCCTTCTGTTGTATTGTGAAGAAACAAGCCAGTTAAAGAAAAATCTAAAATACTTAGAAGGCTGTCCTGATTTAAATCTAAAACAAGCCTTTGTTGGGCTACTGTATAAAACCTCGAACTCAATGCTATTCCTGACGTTTTGAATTGAAAAAGCTTCCTGGATGGGAAGCAAAACATCTTCAAACTCGGAAACCAAGCTCAGTGGATTGCTTTTAATTATTTTAATTATTTATTTTTTATTTAAAGCATCAATCGAACCAAAAAGATGAACTCTTTTTAACATGCTAAATAAAGCAGTCATCCAACAAGTAGTTTGAATTTTTTGTCTGAGCCTGCATGTAAAATATTGACCCTTCTTTTTCTTTATTTCACACTAACAAACGGAAGACTTACAAAGGAGAACCAATCATACCTATAATATAGCTATACCTATGTGATTGAAAGCTTCTCTGTATGATCAGGAGTGTTTTTCACATTTTAAACAATTTTAATCCTAGATTTTTAACACTTCATTGTTTTGTTTTTTTTTATCTTCCCCAGCTTGCAAACAAATGTGCGTGGTCAAGGTAAACCGCGTTGAGAGTAAAATTCTCGGGTTTTCTAAAAACGGCACATCTCAGTCAAGCCCTCCAGCCACAACAGGAGAGGAGGAGCTAAAACCTGCCTGTCAGGGCCTCTCAGGGGTCACACACAGAACCTGTGAGGAACCCAGAGACAATCCCGGGGCACACCTGGAAACCGGGGATTCGAGGTGTTCTTCTTCTGTGCAGCAACACCTCAACTCACCTTGCCACACAAACACCTCTGCAGACCCTCTAATGGACGGACCTCCCTCTGAACCTCAGGCTCAGGTAACGACGTCCTCATATTCAGAGCTAACGCCGACCACAGACAGGAGCGTACACACACGTACCAGGAGTTACACTAACAATGTAAAAGCAGAGGACATGGACATAGATGTTATTCCTAAACATATTAACTCCCACTCCAGCACAGAAGCACTTTATGAACCAGCAGAGGGAGATAGAGCCGCATCCAGTGGCTGCATCTTCCAACACAATCACAGCGTAGCAAAAGGCCCCACTGAGGAGAACCTTTTACCTCCTCTTCTGCAGAAAAATGCTGCAGATATGCCACAGCTCATCCCAGAGCTGCTCTGGAAGGCGGGCGCTTGCCCGTTGCCACCTGTGTTGACCCAGGAGATGCCCTCCCTCACCCCTGCCGACGTTGAGCTTACTCATTTCCACAAACCCGGAGCGTTCAGTCACCAGGTCGCACCCGTGCTCCAGAGGGAGACGCCGACCGGCTCACCGTCTTCGCAGGAAGCCGGACAGGAAGGTGCTCATTTACAGCTGTCAAAACCGAGCACAGTGGACCATGACAGCCGCCGGCATTTAGAGGCTCCAATTAATTACGAGGAGGATGCAGAGTGTAGTTTAGAAGCAAATGCGCCTCCTTTAGCTGCCAGCGATTTGCACAAAAGAACATCTGGTGACGTATGTGAAATGTCGATAGAATCTACTCTGGAAAGGGATCGCAGAATGCTGGGAAGGTTAATTCCTAAGCAGAGTGACGAGAGATCTCAAAGAGAGACGCAAGAAAGCATGAGATACAGTACCTGCTGTCCATCATCTGCTAACTCTGGCAGTGTTCCCCAAACATCACAGTCTTCATTATTCCCTCAGAATGAGAACCAATCAGCATTAAGACCCAACACTACGTATTCTAATGGTTCTTCTCAACACATCGAGACGAAAATCTCGTCTGATTGTATCTGGGAAAACTTCACTTCCCACAGTCCTGCTATTCTCATCCAGAATCTGCAGCCGGATCTCCCATCTGACTTCTCGCATGATCCTCTGCCTTACACCATGTGGACCGAACCTCGGTGCAAAGAGGTCACGGACCTGGAGGACACTGCTCCGGACCTTCGCACATCCGAGAACCTGGAGGAAGAGGGTGGGGTTCTGACCTGGGCCCAACTGGAGCCCACCTCGCTACTTTCTGTCAGTGCTGCTGAACCCCTGGGACATGGTGAAGATTATGAGTTGCAAAAGGATGAAGAGAAAGGGGCTCAATCCGTGGCGAGACTGAGCGAGGCTGAGAGGGAAATACAGCGAGAGCAGGACCAGGTGTCTGATATGGAAGAAGACGAATCTGAGTGTGAAGAAACAGAGCAGCAAAGCAGCGAGAAGGGTCAGAGCAGCAGTGATTCCTCTGAGGAAGAAGAGAACTATGAATCCTGCCTTGAACCTGGGGAAGTTTGCGCTGTAAGTGCTTTTTGGTTTTTTTGACACCAAATTTCACTTTCTAAAAACCAACCCTAATGGTTTGCATCATTAAAGCTCCCTTGATTCCCTCACTGTGCCAGTACCCGGCCCTGTCAGCCAAGAGGACCACTAAGAGCTGGCGTCACCCTCTCAGGAAACCCACTGCAAGAGCCGTGCCCACAGCCGTGAAACAGCAGACTGCCAGTGACGACGGTGGGCGCACTCACACACACATATCGAGTTATTTTTAAACCCACTTTTGAGCGTTAAAGACATGCAGACAGCCATAAAAGATCCTATTGTGAGCTTTGCTCATTTATTCAGATTTTTTTTAAAACCCCAGAGATATTTCTTGTTGCGGTTTTTGTTTTGCGTAGTGGGTGGCTCCAATCCATACTCCATAATCTTTTTATGGCCAAATTGCAGGACCCTGAACATAGCCGCCTGAAATGTGTTTTTTCTATTCTCGTTAATTGGGTTTGGAGGTCCCAGAATAAAACCAAACCCAAACTTATTTGCCTTTATGAATGATTTGTATCAAACCACAAAACCTACTTAGAAATATTTCAACCGACTATTCTTTATTTCACAGCCCAACAAATATTGAAACCCCTTGAAACTCACTTTTTTCAGGATTTCAAACGGGATCACAAACTGTTGCTTTTTATTGGGATTTAATGCAAAAGACACAAAGGATTTCAATTGTAAGGCAAAAGGAGTTTTAAGTCTCCTTGAATTAAAACTGAAAAGTGTGTCGTGCATTCATATTAAGCAACTTTCAGTAAAGAAATCTGAATTCCCATGAGACCTTTTGCCTACAGAAGTCTCCTGAAGGTCTAAGTCAACCAAACGCCATCAGATAGACCAATTATGTCAGCCGGCTGGTCGGAGATGAAACTGTTTAGATATTAAAACAATAGTTTGATAATCCAACTTTCTGGCCTACAGGCAAAACGCTGTTCGCTGCGGAAAACTAACACTGCACCTCACCCTTGAACACATCTTCCTCACCGGTGGTGGCAGCATCATGCTGTGGGAAGGCAGGAAATCTGGTCAGAGTTGGTGTGAAGACGGATGGAGCGAAATGATCCCCCAGTCCTGGGAGAAAACCTCTTAGAGGGTCTGAAAGGCTTGAGATCGGGACAGGACATCGAACTTAAACGTACCCCTCACATGGGACACTCGGCCCATGAGGAAAATACAAATGAGAATCTGTTTGTAAGACTTGAGAAATTAGCTACACAGATACCCTCTGGGTGGACGGACTGAGCCTAAGCTAATCGGAGAGGAATGTACAAAAAAAAATCTGATTTTAGATGTACATAGCTGCTAGAGACACTCCTAAAATAACTCTCATTTGTAGATTTAGTGAAAGTATTGACTCAGGAAGGCGGAAAACAAATGCTCGCCACACTTTTTAGATTATATTTATAAAACAGTTTTAAAAGCTTCAGTAATATTTTTGTCTTTTCCTTCAGTTATATGTCTTTTTTTGTAGGTCTGTTGCATTATATCCCAATAAAATGAATTAAAGTTTGTGGTTAAAATCTGGAAAGGTTGGAGTGGTGTGAATACTTTAGCTGATTGTAACTGATCAATTCTGTCTCATTATCTCAAATATGTCCTTTCCCATCGTAAATCACTCTGCTCTGTGGTCCCTTCCTTCCCTCCTCATATTCAAAACCATATGAATTCCCACCGCCACCACCAAGATGATGCTTCTGACGTCAGTGCGCTCATAAACATTTAATTGTCGGGCCTGCCGCAGCGCGCTGACCTTTTTGATAGATGATCTATTTGTTTTCAGGGGATTTCATAAGGTGGGAGTGAGGGTCCTCCTTAGCAACTCCTGATGCATATTTATGTATATATATACACGCACATAGTCACATTTATTACCTCCGTGATTGTGGTGAAAAGGATGAATAATTCAGCGGCTGCTGCGGGTGTTTATCTCCATGACGGTAAAACGACAGTGGCGTTGAGAGGACTCTTTGATATTTAAACAAAAGAATAACTGTTATTTCAGAGGGAACGTGAAATACCTGCTCCAGCTACTTCAGGGAATTGTTTCCTCTTCAGAGAGATTAGATTTAACTAAACAGAGAGTTGGTAAATGAGAGCCTTCTGTAGCCACCGCCTCCCAGTCTCAGCATGCGCAACAATTTCAGGTTTAAAATAATCACAGTTGATCAAAACAAAGACTCATACCTCATCCATCATCGCCTTGACCGGTGCTCATCATGAGTACTTACAATTAACCTTTTTTTTAGTTTAAGCTGAAAAGAAAACGCCAATAGTGCTGAGTAGAAAGCATACAGGCTGTTTTCCACGGGTGAAGTATTACATTGTAGCTCTTAAAAGATGAATTGATAACAAACAAACACATGATTAAAAGAACAATAAACAAATATATGATAGAAAAGAGTAGAAAATTCCTTCGTTGTCCAAAATGGGTATATTAGCGTGACATGGCAGCAAACCGACAGGCATTATATAGAAAAGGTCAAACCAGTATATATATCAAAAAGAGTATTAAAAAGGCAAAATAAAGTGAAAAAAAAAAAAATACTGAACAAGAGCAAAAAGTAGTTTTGAAAATCGCAACAACAAAGAAGAATAAATAACTATAATATACAGCTATCGACACATTTACAGTAAGTGGATATAAGAAATGGCAGCACATTATTTAAAATGACTTATTTAAAATTATTTCTTTATTTATATATATAATAACTCTGCCCTCTGCTCGTTATGCTGTAAAGCAATTTATTAGCAGCCATTTCCAACCTGTGCATATTCAGTGATTTCATTATTAATGCCTCCTTATTAAGTTTAAACTCCTGCGCTTCCTTGTTAATTCTGATTTACGCAATGAGGAGCTTTTCCCTCACATCGCCGGTATATGAATATATATTTTTAATTTAATAGGTGCAGCTGATATGTGCAGTCGTATATGAAAGACCATTAAAGATGAGGGTTAGTTATAAAAACAGATGGCACCAACACATTGAACCTCTAAAACCTCATTTGTTTACCTTTATCATCAGTAGCAAACCTTTGAGTTCTGCTTTCTTTGTGATGGCACTGCAGCCATTACTAAAGGAGCAACTAATAAATGTTGCTGGAATCTTGTATGATTACTGGGGTTAGATGCAACTGCAGAGAAAGTCTGCATCAGAAAATAACTGCAAACGACAGTTATGAGAGAAATATTTTCCACATCAAGATAATTAACCTAATTACTAAACAATCAGTGGAATAATCAGCTTCTGTCATTAAATGTGCTTTAAAATTAGTAAAAGAAGTGAGTTTGATAGGTTGGTACTGTTACTAGGCAATGGAGAAAATAAATAAGGTAGTATTCAGTTATCTTTCATTGTGACTCATTTTCTGAGCCAACGTACTTGGAAGCTGTTTAACTTGGGGTTATTTTTAGGGCTCCTGCACATGAAACAATCCCAGACTTAAAATTTCTGAGTGTGCCTTTTTTTGTTGTTTTAAAATGGTAAAAGTAAAAATATTCTGTATGATATTTCTCAGATTTGTGTAAAAACAACAGATAGAGTATAGAGCCCACAGCCTTTAACATCTACAACAGTTTGGTGAAGAAACCTTTGTAACACTTAGAACATTTCATTTCCCTTCGGGATCAATAATGCGTTTTTGAAATGAATTGAATTGAATTTGAAGCTGGGCTTGCTGGACTGAGATCAGTAACCTGATGGAGAGCAGAATCCCAGACAAATAATGGCTGGATAGACAAATGGGATGATAGAAAACCTGATAAATGGGAAGGTGATGGATGGATGGGCGGCTGGTTGGATATATGGATTCATAGTTTGATGGACGGATAATGGACGAACAGGTGGATGAATGGAATTACAATTTATGGATGGATGGGAATGCTGGATGGTTTGTTGATGGAGAAGAGAAAGATGGATGGACGGATGTCTGCATCATTTAGAGATTAGGGTGGAGAATAAGGACCTGAAGTTCCAAAAGATTTCCAGACCTGGAAAATCCTTTAATGAATTTTGTTTCCACTGCTTCTCAAGGGGCGTCCGATTCGTTTTGTTCTCTAGCCACATCGGATTATCAAGCTTTTTCAAGAGTTGTTTGCATCTGTTTGAATAAAACTTAATATTTCATAATTTCATTCTGAAAAAAAATTAATCGGATTAATCAATTATTAAAATAGTCAACTGTTAACTGGAGTATAGAGCCTCTAAAACATGTCTTTAGCTGACAGAGCGACTCACTTAGAGCAGGAATTATACCAAAATTTTAAAAATTTATAGAAATATTTTGTATTTAAGATAAAAAAAAAAAATTGTCTGTCAATATGCTCTATCCCAGGGGTTAGTCCATTCTTTGAGTCCTCTTTTCTCTTTCGCCATCTTCCTTTTTTCCCCCCTTTGGGATCCATGGTCCGAGACACACCCACCGCTTTGTTTGCCTGGCACAACATAATTCATTTTTGTTTGACCTCCTGCACATCATATTAAAACAAACAAAAAATAGATTTCTATACATTTTTGAAAAAGCTCCAGGTAGCAAGGGGGCGCTAAAGAGCTGCATGCAGCTCCGGAGCCACGGTTTGCCGACCCCTGCTCTATCCAGAACTCCTCAAGTAGAAAAGTTTTAGTTTCACTTGGTTTAAATTCTGTAAAAAATTGGCTCTCCAATCATTATTGATCCAGATTTCTTTTCCATAAGTGAGGGGTTAAATGAAAGTCAAATTTAAATCCTTTTGTAACATTTGACCGAGACAGAACAACAATGCATTGAATCATTGGGTTTTATGATCAGCATGCTAAAACCAAGGGCTACAAATAACTTATGTTTAACCACTCAATCTTCATGTGTGAAAACATAAATGTGTAAACACAAACTTATTCATCCTTATTTTAAAAAAATAGTATCAAGTAGTTTGTTAACAACTGGCTTTAAATCCTGTAAACAATAATCCTTCTAACTGTGAAGAGATTTCACCTGTAAGACCTGATCTCTGAGCTGTGGCAGCAAGGCAGCGGGCAGTGGGTGGTAAAGGTCTCAGCTTTATCACATTATACTCCTTTTTTAGGACTCTTCAAGGCTGAAGAAATTGCCTTGGGCCGGATTTGGCCCACAGGCCTTGGGTTTGACACATAAACTGTCAAGCAATCCTGTACATTTTAAAAGCCACAGGTTTCAGAAGTGAATCACTTAATTTGGGGGTTCATTAAGTGTTCAACTACCTCATTATAGCATCACTTGTTATGATCTAGATGATTATAACACAAATTGCTCTAGATGTACCTAAAATCACTGCCGTCTTGCATTAGCAATAGTCCCCTCAAAAGAAAAGCTTTATTCCTTCTCCATAACAGCCTCATCCCATAGAGGGAGAACGAGGCTACGAATATTCTGTTATGAAAAATTTGGTTTTGATTATAAAAGGCTCCATGGTGAGAAGTTAAAAAGCAGTGTCCAGAAATCAGCAGAACTTTCTCCCTCTGATGGTTGACCTTCAAAATTGCTTTTAATCAGTGTAGATCAGGCTCAAAATTGTAGCACTAGGTACTGAATACAGCTGCAAAGCAGCGTGGCAACAAATTTTGCACAACGTACTGGAAAACGAAAGGAAAGATAGAATTTTACCAAGAACTAGAGGGATTTACTCCTGGTGTCTAATGCAGTGTCAGGAGAAGTTTCCATCTATCTTGAGTCCTGTTGTATTAAATACTGTTCAAGGGTTGCTTCCTATCCAAGGAGGAGGGCTTATTGACATTTCTGCCCAATAACACATTGTTATAAATAAAGAACTGGATCCAAACATCTTTCAAGAGAAATATCATCCTGGGAATCAAGGCGCATTTCACATCTGGCTTAAAGATTATAATGTTGAAGATTGGGACCTGTGCTTTAAAAAAAAAAAAAAAAGCTTCCCATTTTTAATCCCATCAGGAAGCTGTGGTCAGGGCTCTCAAAGCAAGTGGAAAAACAGAAGCCAAAGAGCTAAAATCAACTCCAAGTAGTAATAGGATGAGGCATTAGGCAGAATGGAGGGTCAGAAGTTAATAGCCAGTAAACTACAGAAGGTGTCAAAAAAAAGAAAGGACTCATAAAATACTGACTCTACATTCAAAGTCTGCAATTAAAAACCTCTGCTGGACTTTTTTTTTTTTTTTCCCAAGTCGTAAAAAAAAAAATATCTCAGAAATATTGAATCCACAAACTAAAACAACCTGCTGAAAAACAAAAACGTCTGCAAGCAGCTGAGGATGGCATCCTAACATTTCTCGACCCCCACATCATGAAGTTTGTCTCAGCCTTTAAACTCTATCTGGCAACTTCACTGCAATCTTTTGGGATGTGTTGTTGAAATTCATATTTGTACCATCTTAAATTAGAGCCTCCAGAAGCAAGCCTGGCAGAAGAGGAGGAGGATGAGGACGACGACGAGGAGGAGGAGGAGGACGACGACGGGGAGCATGAAATAGAAGAATGGGCAAAGCCCCTCATCTACCTTTGGCAGCACAGAAAGAGCTGCTTCTCTGCAGAGAGGGACTACAATGCTCACGCTGCCACTATGCAGCCGCACTGTGCTGTTTGCACACTCTTCATGCCATATTATCAGGTAAACTCACGAGATTTGTAACAATCATGGTGCAAAAATTTACATTTTAAGACGACTTAAACGCAACATCTACCGAGGTATTGATAGACCATTTAAATTTCACTATGTTAATGTTTCAGCCACAAATTTGAATGTTTTAATGAAATTTTGCCCAAAGATTTTCATCATATTTAAGTGTTATTGGACACAGAACAAGATTTTATCACTTTTGTAACAAAAAAAAGTATTTTCATGGCAAAAATCAATGACCCTCTGATTACACAAAAGCAGTCACTTGCCATAAGATTGTTAAAGTGCTTCTATGAGAAATTTGTGAAATACATTTATGGAAAGCAAAAGAAAAACCCTTTTGTTAGACATTAACCTCAGAACCATAAAGCTGATATGGGAACTTAATTTTTTCACTTTTTAACTTTGCCTATTCAGTCTTAAATGAGGTTTTTCACTTTTTTTTATTAGCGTATTATGTTTTTAACAGATTTTATTTATTTTTTTAAACCTTATTAACAGTAGGTGACATATCTCAGACAGTAGGCAATGTTAGGTTACTGGTAGTATTTTATGAAGCAGTTACACTCAGCTTTAAGACAGAGGGACCTTATACCCTGGAGACCACAGGGTTACTGTAAGTCTTTTATAGCCTCTACCAACTTTTCCACCTGAATTGCTCGGCGTGTATCTGCAAACATCTCCTCTACTCAGAAGAAGAAAATGAATCATCCCCACAGCATGATACTGCTGTTACCGTGGGATAGAGGAGTAAAGAAAAGACTAGGTTCTCTGTTACTCCAGAGTTTTGATGATTTTGTAACCTTATGAAGATTGATTTCCTCTTTAATTTTGTGTAAAGGCAGCCTTCTAGAGACAGTCCAGCTGCTCGCTCTTTGCATTTGCTCAGAAGTTATTGCTGACTGATTACTGGTCAATTGGATGCAGAATAGAGCTAACTCTGAACCCACAGGTCCCTGTAATTACCTGATTTCTCCCTCTGTGGTTTTGCTGCTTATCACAGCCGGCCACTGTAATTTCCTGTTAGCTGAAATGTCACAGAGAATGAAAGCCCTCCTTACAGGGCAGGGAGGCACATGTTTCATCACCCGGTGGCACTGTCAATATTCAAACCCTTTGGGGGATTAAAAAAATTATTCTTCTTTTTTCCCCTGCAGGCTGAGGAGAAAGCTGAGGACTTCAAACCTCTGTCTCTGGAGCCCCCCACACCTGCCTGCAGAGGGCTGAGGAGGTCCAAGCCTCTGGTTCCAGAGATCTGCTTTTCTTTCCGAGAGCAGAACTGTCCCCCGACTCCTACAAACCCCCTGCTGCAAGACGACGGCACATCCCCTCTCCTGTGCTGCCAGAGCTGTTGCCTGCAAGTTCACGCAAGTATGTTGGCCCAATGAGAATTAGTGTAGCGGGTACAGTAAGAGTGGGAAAGCTTTCTGTGGGACCTTTATGAAATCTCCAGCAGAATACAAGTGGATCCAGCATAAAAAAATATATATATATTTGGTAGAAGGTCGGCGGGTTTATAAGTCCTGACTCACTTCATCTGTGTTTCCTTTTCAGCCCACACTCTCTCTTGTTTCTCTTTGCGGTTTAGCTTATTCTATTTCTCTCGTCAGCCAGTTAAGGGGAAACCTTCCTCCTGCACCACATTCCCAACTCAGAAACCAGCCTTCATTCATTTGGGATTACACATAGACTAGACGCTGTAGGTTTAAACAAAACTCACTTGAACACGGATAGATCTGTTCTAGAGATGCACCCATCAGAAATTTAGAGCCAATTTCATACAATTCAGGTTTCTCTGTTGGAGCTGCTGTTAACTCAGCCCGCAGTGATTTCTAAAAACTTTGTTTAGATCTATAGCAAGAGCTGAAGCGTCATTATGGCATTTTTGTCTTGTAATATTTATGTCTCTGAAAATGAACAGTGATTTTTCTGTTTCTCTGTGTGAACTCAGCAGTATGTTTTAGAGAATTATCTAATTGGAAAACCCAAAGTCACACAGGTTGGATGGCTTCCAAACCTGATTTCCGGTTTGGAAGCCATTCAAGTGCTTTAAAGAGACTACGATTAACATCTTTACTGTCAGTGAGCACATGTGCAGTGCGCACAAGCACAGCGAAACTGGGGCACAGTTCTCCCCTCGGTGCAAACATGTCAGATAAAAATACAGAGTAAATAAATAAAGCATATCAGCTCATCAAAAGAGAAGCTCTATGTACAAATTAAGCTGAGATTTACGACACATCGAGGCTGACATGTCTGTTTATTGCACCTGGCCTGTGGCTAAAACGACACATGATGGTGTCAAATGTCTGCATTTAACAGGGTTACAGCCCTGTTGCAAAAACTGTCTGTCATTCGGTTTGTCAGTGTTTCAAGCGCCCCGAATTGCTTGCCAGAGGTCCTGGGTATGTATGCTACGACCCCCCCGAGGCAGCAGCTGCTGTAGAGGCCCTTCAGGGAGAGGAGAGGGTGGCCGATGATGCTGTACAGTCTTCCAAGTTTCAAAAAAAGAGAGAGAGAGAGAGAAACAGGCCCGCATCATCACACATCCGTCACCCTGCTTATCAGGGCTCCCACTCGCCTTGTAATTGAGGCTTAAACTAACAAAATGACAACAGAGACATCATTTTGACATTATACAATGGTTAGCTATAAATATGAAAATATTCTCTAACTTATGTAGATCTTTACCATAATGCTAAGATTTCCAAAAGGCGCAGATTTTAGAATCAAGCAGGAAATTGATAGGAAAAAAATAACACAGAGCAACTCTCCTGAAATGCTGTCAGCCTAGTTGAAGTCTGTGGGTACAAACATTATCTGATAGTCCTGAAAAAAGGCAGGGGAACAAAACAACCGTACTGCAAAATAATAAAAACAAGCCAAATGTGCAAAAACATTACCCACTGCATCTTTTCTCTGTTCCAACTCTCCATATGCAGTAATGGAAAAAAAAAACTAGACCAAACTTTTATAAATGATGGCTTGACAGAGGTAAAGATTAGGGTGATGGCACAGAGGCCTTAAAACTTCTCAAAGTAGCCCAGTTTTCCATAAAATAATCAGAAGGTCATGAATAATTGTCAATTATTAAATAAATTAAATAAAAAAAGAGATTTTATGTTTTTTGTTTTACATTTTGATACCTCTTTTTTAAAAATCATTTTATTAAAGATTTCTGTATTATTTCCTTTCAGAGACAAACTCCTTTCAATCGTTCTGAGCCTGACTGTGCTTCACATCTAGCTGTCTCCCAGAGCCTCTTTTCCCCGATACTACAGCTAAACCTGCCATCTATTTATCCTCCATGATCCAGACACGTTTCGCACTGCGCTGCGACTGCAGAACAGCTTCGCTGCGTTTGTAATTATTTGGTTTTGTTGGCGTGTGGGAGCAAGAGATGGAGCTCATGTCATCTGACACCGACAGAAAAAGCCACAAGCTTGGTTTCGAGATAGAAGTACAAGTTGATGTAACTCCCCCCCCTTCTAGAACGGTAACTTGAACTCTGGAAAGGAAGCAGAGGTGGGCTTGGATTTTATTTCAGGTTATGTGATTGGTCGTTAAGGAAAATATCACAGACGTTCACTCACTCTTGGACTTCTAAAATATCCTCCATGTCTGAAGGCTTTAGAGCCGTTATTGAAACCAGCTGCCAGCTTTCAAAGAATCAAAGCAGTTTTAGAAAGACACTTTCTAAATTGTAAATGTTAATGTTATCTTTTTAAAACACATATGCTTCTCTGAAATGGAAAAAATAAGCAAATAATAGTAAATTATTACTTTTAAGATTTTAAAATGAAAGTACCACTTAGGAGAAAACATACAGAGAAACCACAGTTGAGAAAGCTGTCATTGACTGTTTTTTTTCCAACAAGGACAACCAAAAAAACCCCCCACCCCCACCCCCCACATACAGCCACAAAGACCACTGAGATCTCAATTTCCACTTTGTCTGCAATACTGGGCTTGTCTACACAGAAACCCACCACTTCAATGCCATCAAGAATATCTGGAAACAATGTAGCTGTGGCATTTCGTCCAGTGTTTTGTAACAATAGACCTCACTGTTCCTGTCGACTGTTGTTTTATCTCCCTCCTTTGGGTATTTAGAGTATTACTCTGTTTTTTTGCATCTGATTTTTTTTTCCCTCCTGCAGGCTGTTACGGTGTAGCTGCGGAGGACGTCAGCGAACAATGGTCTTGTGATCGCTGCACAGGAGGAAGTGTTACAGCTGTAAGACAGTTTGTGTCCAGATTTTACAAACAATGTTTGGTGTCAAAGTGCCAACGTGTACAACTTTAAAAACTACAATCTTACTTTGATAATCCAGAAAAATGCAACCTTTAAATTAAAAACATTTGTTCAGTAAAGAAACAAAGGAAATCCAAAGTTTGAGCATTTTTTTCATGGATGGTAATGGAAGATAGTGTATTTGTTCAATTAATAATTTCTGTCTTGACTTGGAAGCCTCTGGTATGCATTCTACAAAGGTTCCTAGTAGGAAAAACAGGCCAGTAGCATCACAGATTCAGAGTTTTTAAGCAAACTTCATACATTTAGGAAGACATTCCTTCCTTACAGTAATTTGACAGTAGGTAGAGTATAAAGGCCATTAGCGAGTAACCTCATTAGGTCACTCTTTACATAAGTCTTTCAGCAGTGAGTTTAACCGTCTTTACCCTCCTGCACATTGCATGATTAATGTGGGTTCTTCTCAATCAGTGGCTTATAGGAATAGGCTTCTGTGAAATATCGTATTTATTCTTGATGGAAACAAAGTCATGCGTTACTGATCAGAAGTTCAGAAACTCTGCCGGCTAGCAGATCCAGGTGGCAACTCCTACTTTTGACCTCCTGTTAAAGTTAATTCAAACATTGTTCTTTTTTTTTATCTTGCTCCAATATCCTCTAAAGAAGGAGGCTTTGCTGTTTTTAAAACGAGTCATAAAGATATTGTACCCCCCCAATGACTTGTTTTAAAGCACTTTAAACACAGAAGATGCAATTTATGCCTCTATCAATCACAACCGACTCTTCTGAAGAAATACCTCTCTTTCAGATGATGTCAGGTGTTGTCATTTCCATGCACAACAAAGGTTATTAAAGTAGTATGTTTTTTCATAGTTAGCCTTATTGAGGTCTGCAAACACAGTTGATGATACACAGCATCATGACCAAAGGCTCCTCATTTGAGTCCTATGAAAATCAGATATTTTATTTGAGCACATTCCCTATTATGAGGCTATAAAAACACATTAGCACAGTTTTGGAGGTGTGCCAAAATTGTAGCTCCTCCCGACACTCTCAGCCATTAAAAACCATTGTGGATCAAATATGCATGAATTAATTCAGTTCCGATTTGCTGCAGTCTTAGTAAAAATGTTGATCAATATAATCTGAGGTGTCTCCTTGGGTTTAAAAAGGACTTTAAGGGCGTTATTTGATGTTAATCTTGGAAAGATTTATGCAAGGCTAATACATCTTGATTTTCTTTTTGTTAAAACACAAAAATATGAGACATAGTAGCAGCTATGTATTCTTTTTTTTATACCTAACAATGGTACCAAATGTTTGTATTAAGACCTGATAATTGTGGAGCCATTTCTGATTTATTTCACTGGTGTATTTTCAGGGGGACATTGGTTAATAAACCCTCTGGCTTTAAAGCTTAAAGAAAAACTGTATGTTTCATTTTTTACTTCAGTTTCATGCTATTAAAAGGATTGTTTTGTTATTTGTTATTGTGCTGCATATATATATATCTTCTTCGGGTCCTCCTAACTGAAATGTGGTCAAATTAAATGTTGATTTTTTTTTTTTCCTTTCTAAATTCTTATTTTGTTAAATCTTTGCCAGCGCATCCAGCTAAAAATCTTCCCATACAGCTGTGCTTGAAAGTTTACATACCCTCCCAGTAAAGACAGAAAATAATCAGCTTCCACTGTATTTGCATTCCTTTTCTTCCTTGTGTGTTGCTATCTGAGCATGTGAGAAACCTTTCAGTATCTCACCTCTCTTTATTGCTTTTCTCAGGAGTGCTGTCTGTGTAACCTCCGAGGTGGAGCCCTGAAGAAAACCCAAAACAACAAGTGAGGCATGCTCTTTGTTTACATGGATTATCTCTGTGATTTCATCCCTAATCTCAGGAGCTCCACCAAATAAACCATGTGGGATTCCCAATGATTAGCATGCATTGTTGTGGTTCTTTATGAATGTTGACGTGTGTGCAGATGGGCCCACGTGATGTGTGCTGTGGCGCTTCCCGAGGCGAGGTTCGGCGACGAAGCAAAGAGGAGTCCCATTGATACCAGTAGGATCCCCATGCAGCGCTTTAAACTGGTGAGAGGACACACACCCACACACACACACACACACACACACCCACACACATATAAAAACACACAGAGAGTCCTTGAGGAATGGTCTGGTCTAATTAATGAAGTATTCACAATCCTAATTAACAATGTGAGATGAACATGCCCGCAATCAAATCCAGATAATTAACTACTAGTTGAAGGGTGGGGGGGAGGTCTCTATGGGCAGGGATTTCTATGTGCTGTATCATTTCTGGCGTTTGTGTATGTTTGCTTAATGAGCAATCCCAGTGTGTCTCAGCAGACCTGACATGTTGACGCTATAGTTAGCTCCGCGCTGCTGGCAACCATGGTAGCTCTTTTGAACCCAAAGTGTTCAGAGAGAAAAATGCTCCACATGAAGAAAGAATTTAAATCTAATAAAGTTAAAAGAAACCCATAAAGATAAATGAAATTTACAAAAAAGAGATGGGTAAAAAAAAAAAAACCTGAATCCTCCAGATATAATATAACATATGCAGAGCCACTGGTGAAGATTCCCAGTCAACCAGGTCATAGTCATTCCAAAAAACTTTGTTACACAGTTTGAAGGCCTGGTCAGCCAGGCCAACAATACCCATAACAAACCCCCTTTCTCAGGCATAGACCAGTATCGGGTATTGCAGGCTAACAAAGAAGCCAAATGACTCCCCATTATTAAGGGGTGGACCCGTTTTTCCGGTTCAGTTTGCATTTTTCCTAAACAAAAACAGGACTTTCTTTTGGACCATTGTATAAAGCTTCGAACCCAACACTAATTCTGACATTTTGAATTGAAAAAGCTTCCTGGACGGGAAGCGAAACGTCTTCAATCTTGGAAATAACGTCCGGTGAATTGTTTTTTTTTTCACCTTTTTGAAACATATGCAGAGCCTTTAGCCATTTTCTAAAAATATGACAAAAGTGTTGATGTAGTTTATAGTCACAGGAAGTTTATTCCAAAGTCTGGGTGCCATCAGCTGGAAAGATTGATCCCTACCAGTTGAATCTCTACTGAAGGGAATTATTTATACAAAATCTTATTTATTTAACTGAGTATAAAAGATTATTTCAGAGCTTTAGTCAATTTTGAATGATTTATGATCGGTGATGAATTTAGAATGATGCTCAGAGGACATTAAGCTGTCATAAAAACTCCCAGATTTCTGAGACGTGAGTGAACAGTGGAGCCAATAAAACTGAAATGGTGCTTAGTTATAGAGGAAAAATGAAACTGACGGGAAAGATAAGGATCTTGTTTTAATTTGCGTCTGAATCAAGAAAATATATCATTACCTCACTCTTTTATTTCTGATCAATGATTGGCATTCAGATGATGAGCTGTTCCAGAAGATTCTCTAAAGCTGCGAAAGGTTGAACTCAAGACAGAACCTTGAGGGAAACCCCACAAGACAAAGAGCATTCATAATGTTTATTTTTGCAGCTCATTAATTACTCATTAAATGAGATGCCGTCACATGTGATAGAGGAAGTCTAAGTGAGCTGTGGTGTCCCTAACATGAGAACGAACACAAAATGTTGACATTTTCAGCTGGTGTTCTGTCAGCATATGCTGTCAGATCGGCATACGTTCTTCTAATACGCATGTGCGCACATGGGCAACAGGGAATTATTCTAACATTGAATTTTAGCAGCAATGTACCAACCAGAAAAAAACATGTTTATTTTAACTTCTAAAAAAGAAAATCAGCTTTAGATGATACTGTTATTTCTTGGATGTGGAAACGGCCAGACATGATTAAAGTTTCCGGGATGTTGAGAGAAGAAGCCTCTATAGCTAAAAGCATATTAGTCGAAATTAATTTAAAATAAATACATTTAGTAGTAAAAGCATGTATGCGGGAATTTAAATTTGGTTAGATATTTTTTTCATGTTTAAAATTATAGAAGGCATTGGCTGTGGTTCATATTGTGACATGGAATTTATTTAGACTAGTTAAAAAATAATCGTATGCCGATTTGACAGCATATGCCGTTCTGACAGAACACCATTCTTTAGCATGTTAAGTTAACGATTAGCAAGGTTAGTGAAGATGTTTGTGTGTACTCCCCATATAGTTAAACCCTAATCTTAATGCTAACACTTTTAAATCTTACCTTCATTTTATTTTTCTTCTTTTGTACAATAAAGGACAGAGGCTAAAAGCCCAAAATGATTCTGAGCTCTTCTTCTATTTTGGAAATAGATAACTTTAAAGTTAGCCTGACGTAGTCCAACTCAATTCTAGTCAGAATATGAGTCTGATACTGCTCCATAGAACTGTGATTATGGGGCGTGTTTCGAACGAACCAGGAAAAAAAATGCCTCTGCACTCAATTGGATAGACCTACAACCAA